CTAATATAATTATAAGTATAATAATAAAAATTAATTTAATCGAAAATAATTTATTCTTATTAGAATATTATATTTATAATTTCTCCTTGATTCCCACAAGTTAAGTAAAATTTCTATACACATATATTTCTATGATAATTATAAAAATTAGATCTTGGTAAAAATCACATATTTTTTGTTTGAATCTTATAATTATTATTAACTTTGATCCCCAAAAAGTTATTCAAAAAACCACTAACTATTTAGAAAATGGGTAGGGGCTCGTCATCCCCATTGAATTACCCAAAAAACAAAAAAAAAGGTGGCTTGAAATTCAGATCTGTACCACAAACTGAATTTAAAAGTGATAAAGAGTGGAGGAAATCAAATTATTATTTGAGGCTAAATCTATTAAAAAACGAATAAATCCGCTCTCAGATCAGTGCCTATTGAATATAAATAAATAAAATCATAAATCTAACAAAATAAATGAAAAAAAAGAGAAAAAGAGATGATGAGGAAAATACTTGGCCAGGCAGTTGGCACAGGGCACCTTAGGATTTGAGACCTCGTCCGTATCAGAACTACGGTTGTGTACGTATGTCCTCTGTTGTTCTCTCTTCAAACTTGACAAAACACTGGCTTGGTTGAACTAGAGTTTTGCTGATCTAGTCTAAAAGTTGGTTTCAGGGGGGCTAGGGCTTAAGGTTGCTTCTCTAGATCTAAGTCTAGGGCTTAAGGTTGCTTCTTTAGATCTAGGTTTTCTCTCACATGTTTTCTCGGCTCTCTCCCAATTTCCTGGCCTACATGTTAACAAAGTAACCTTAAATGGTAACAAAATGTGCTTATATAAAGGTTCAAATCGTACTAGAATGGATACATATCAATTTCAATAATATTTGCCCACTAAATTTCCATTTTTGGGGTCAAAAGGAGCCCAAATCTGACCAAAATTAACAGTTTTGGATTATGGGTAATTCACGCATTTTTGTGATATTACGTACAAAAAATCAGGTAAAAATAAGTTGTATTGTTATTTTTAGTTGATTTATTACTAAAATATTAATCATGTAGGATTTTGAATCACAGACTATGGTGGTCTATGCTTCGAGAGTTCACTGGGATAGTGTGGTCATAAGGGTTAAAGAATAATACAGAATTTGCCGATTCTAAAAATAGGGTGTCTACGCTCTTCCATCAAATTCAAACGTATAACTACCGCAACTAAACGACCCTTATAAGTATTGTTTTTTCTTATTCACTCTACTCTCTTTCCACATTCACTCTGCTCTCACTCATCATTCTCTCCCATCAACTACTGTCATGTAACACATCTCTTCCAAAAGGTGTCTTAAAACTCTCATATTCCAAAAGGTGTCTTAAAACTCTTCCATCAAAATTTAAATGTCCTATAACTACTTTCATCTCACCCATCTCTTCCATCAAAATTCAAACCTATAACTACCACGATCAAACGACCTCAATAAGTATTGTTTTCTCGCTTTTACTCTTCTCTCTTTCCTCATTCACTCTCCTCTCACTCATCATTCACTCTTTACTATCCATTAAGCGAGAAGAGGACCTTGCTTATATTTTTGATACGTGCATCTTAATTTGAAAATGTGCCTTAAAACTCTCATATCAAAATTCAAATGTCTGATAACTACTTTCATCTCAGGCATCTCTTCCAAAAGATGCCTTAAACTCTCACATCAAAATTCAAACCTCATATAACTACTTTCATCTCAGACACATCTTCCATCAAAATTCAAACTTATAACTACCCAACCAAACAACCCCTATAAGTATTGTTTTCTCTCTTTCACTCTACTCTCTTTCCTCATTCACTCTCACTTTGTTATCTTTCTCTTTCTCTATTACACAAATCATATTTACTCTTCCACTCTTGAAAGCCTAATTTTTTAATAGAAAAAGTGAAGCATAATAAAACAAAGCACATCCAAATGAAGTTGAAAATTAGTGAAAAAAATGGATTTCAAATATTCGAGTTATAGCTGAGGGGTATTTTTGAAATTTTTTAAAAAGATGGGAAAAATGTATAAATAAGTATTCATGCCCAAAACACTTTCCAATCTTTGCCAAAATGATAAAAATACATTAAGAACAAATCTCTTATTTTTTAAGATTATTTATTTATTTATTTATTTATTTTAAAATACCCAGTCGGACTACCAAAACTGACAAAAACCACATCAGCTCGAGCCCGATTCCAGTTTGACTAGCCGGCTCTGAGTTGAACCGGCAGAGTTTGTGAACACTGATGCTAACTTCAATTTTGTTCATGCTGAAAAGACAAAACTTTTAATTTACTCTAGCAATTATCAACATCACATGAATTATCTCATCAAGAATTTACATTTGTTGCACAATGCGCTTGACATTGAAATAAGTCCCAAGAGTTGCAATGCAAAAACCTAACATTAGAATCCCCATCACTATAACTTTCTCAACTCTGCAACTCTTTGTGCCCTCAAAGATCTTCAGGTAGCAAATACATGGTAGAATTAGAGCAATGGTGCTGCCAAGAAATGATCCGATAAACGCCATCATGGACCCGAAAAATGGAAATGTTAGAGCAATTATGATTGTGATAGCCACCATCAATGTCCTTAATGACAAACTCACCACACTCTTCTTGCAAAGAGGAAATATCTCTTCGATAGCAGCCGCAACAGGAGTCATGGCTAGTGCATATTTCGATAATGGAAGTATAACAACAACATAAATTGCAATCTTTGAGCTAAAATTTTTAACAGGGAGATTAAGAGTAATTTGCGATTTTATTTGGCCCCCAAACATTAAGTAACTGAGTATCGACATCAATGTATAAGCCACTGCACAAGTGATGAAGGAAATGGTCAGCACCTGCAACCAAAGAACACAAAAAGTCTTGGGTTAGGAGCTTCGGAAATCTAGTTAACTTTTATCATTGACTGTGATAGGATGGTTTCGAACACGAAACCTCATCGTGTCGAGAGCCACTACTAAAATGGGCCTCAGGAGAAACAACAAAGTTTTGTAAATCTTTCTTCAACATGAATTGTAAATCACAATAAATGCCAGATATAAGCCATTTTTCTATATGAATGGACCATGGCAAACTTGAGCAAAAGAACGGTTTATCTCGACCATCTATTTTTTAGTATGGATAATGATAGAGACAACATATATCCTACATAATAATCTAATAACACATGATAAGTTTATAATGGTTTGCTTTTCCATTTCAACTTGGTTTCTAAGTTCCTTCGACCCCGTCTTATTTGTAGGGGTGGTAGTGGGTGGGATGGTCTGTGCCGGAACAAATTATATTTGGGCTACTAAGTTTAGCCTGACTACCAAGGTCCAAACCTAAAATCTAGGCATGGTTTTTGGCCTTGGCTGGGGCCAAGAGAGGGGTATTGGCTCGCCCAGCCCAACCCGGCACTACCATTTCTTTAATTTTCCTTATGATTAAAAAATAGATAAATAATATCTACTCAACCCGGCCTGGCTCAACGCCATTAATAGGCCTGGCTGGGCCACTTAGCGTGGCCTTGTACAGATCCTAGGTAAGTCTTGGGTGAGCCGTGGCTCAGCCCACACCCAGGTTGTTCCCACCCTTATATTCAAGGTGTTAGATATTAATGTTGTCATATTCGCTTCGATGTCTTTTTCGGTTTGGTGAGAAAAATGAAACAATTTAGTGCTTCGGTCAATTCAGAGGAAGACTTCAGACTTTTTTTTTTTAATTTAATATTAATAAATTAAAATTTTGTATATAAAAATAATGAAAAAATAAATAAATAAAAATTTTAAAATAAATAAATAAAACCTTTATATTAATATTTCTTTGCTTAGGCTGAAAAGGCTGATGCTTCGGTCGAATTTGCCCTAAGCATACCCCAATCTATCCGAAACAAGACTGGATCTGGCCAAAGCGACAGCACTAAGCTTCGCTTCAGTCTAGGCCTAAAATCTGAAGGCTTCAGCCTCTTCAGCCAAATCGAAATTAATTTGACAACACTGGTTGACACTTGATTATGACCATAGATTTCATGCTCAAGACAAATTCATATACGTACCTTTGGACCCTTGCTCCTATCTTTCATTGATCCAATAATGGTAGGGAGAACACCATGTCCATTGAAACACAAAGCATAAATGCTAGCTGCCATTGGTATGCCACTTAAATTTAGAGGTTTTCCTTTCTCATGAAACCCAATCCCACCAAATAGACCAACCCATATAACTGCACCTATCACAACTACACAAGCAAAAACACCGGTTGCTGATACATAGGCCAATCTCCCTAAGCTTTTTAGCCAAGTAGTAGGGAGAACAACCATGGCTGATAAAATAACAAATGCCTTGCTTCCTTCTATTTTCCAACCCCCAATTTTGTAGCCAAAGTTAGGAAACAATTTAGCTAAACTGTCACCTGCTAATATCAAGAAACCTATGTCAAGTAAGAATAGTTGAAGATAGATAAATGTCGAGATGAAGATTTTGCCTTTGGGACCAAAGGCAAGATAGCCTATGTCTGGGTAGCATTTGATGTGAGGGTCCATGCTCATGCAACGCTGAAGGAGTAGGCCTGTATAATAGAAGATGATAGCCAATAGCACAAGAAGTCCCAAGCATGCCCAGCCACCTTGTGATAATGCATATGGAATTACTACGATCCCAACTCCTGTGGACCCACAAAAGTGAGAGATTAGGAGGAGAGAGAGTGAGAAATTAGGAGAAAGAGAGAGAGAGAAAGGGTTTAGAGGAGTTCGATTTTTATTTGGATTCTAGTTGGACCAAGATTGAACCCATACCTAGGTGGGGTCCAAGACATTAAACCCGTGGGGTCTTAGACATTAAATCATATATATATATATATATAGAGAGAGAGAGAGAGAGGGGGAAAAGAAACTGAGACGAGTGAAATGCTATATTGATTGCCCTCATGGGCTTAAAATCTTTCAACGACCCAATTATGATTGGATGGTGGACTCTATTTTGGGCTACGAATTTTTACCTTTTGTCTAAAAAAAATTTGAGATGAATTTGGAAAGTAAATGCATTTTTGCCTTGGGCACCCGATAGAAATATAACGGAAATATTTCATCTAATTATAAATGGACAAATTGCCCCAATGACATCCTGGCGTAGTTTTGCCATTTTAAAAAATGTAAATATTTTTTTATATGAGCAAGCTTTTTATGCTTCTCGTGCAACATAAAACTTATATACTTCCCTTCTGTCCAACCGTTCATTCCGTTCATTCTAAATGGACAGCCGAGATGGCCCCAATCACATCACTACACTATTTTATTTTTATTTTTTTATATAAAATATTTTGACATCAAATTTTGCCATCCACTCCTCTCTTAAACTCGTACTTGTAAAAAAAAAAAATTCTCAATAAAATAAAATGACCAAAATAATTTTAAAATTTTTAACAGGTATTTTGATCATTAAATTTTATTGAAAAATTATTCTTAATATTTTGTTAGGTGTGCCCCAGAAGAGGACAAGCACCAAATTTCGTAGTCATACAATTTCTAGAAATACAATAAAAATCAAATATCGTCAAATCTAGATCAAACGGTAAGTGGCTCACTTAAACTTTCCCAAAGAGGTTGCCCAAGGGAGTTAATGTAGTATGCTCCCGGAGTAGCTCATTTGCCAAGGGAGTTAATGTAATATGCTCCCCGGAGTAGCTCATTTGCACTGGAAGTTAATGTAATATGCTCCTGGAGTAGCTCATTTGCCCTGGGAGTTAATGTAATATGCTCCCGGAGAGCATGCTCTACAAACTAACATTTAATAGCTGGTAGAAATCTTTATCCCAATGTGTGACTTCCACCTTCAAAATAGTTTACTCCCAAAAAAACGGATAGGGGCGGTCTTCCCCACTCAATTACTCAAAAAAAAGTTCTTTGTTTTTTCTCTGTGGACATGATGAACGATTGGAAGTTTATTTGATGTTTCCACATCTTCCTATTGTAAATTTTTCAATACATACCAAAATTTTACTTTTTCATGGAATTGTACAATTGAAACAATGGGTTTTAGTTAGCCACCCTTGACATTTTAGTAATCTGCACAAAGCAGTTCATTACACTGATTAAAAAATCGGAATCGGGTTCCAAATCTCACAGTCGAATTTCGGTTCATCTAGTACGACCCGAGCGAATCCAAAGTCATAATAGGAAATAGTTAACTTAAGAATTTAAGAATAGTAGAAAATCGGAAGACTCGGATGGTTATGGGGTTCTCTGCCATGAATGGCCACCCTCCTCACTCTATCCAACTCGAGCGATTTTCGAGTCAGATTGGCGATATTTAAATCAGCTGTTCACATTAGCAGGTGCCCAGATAATAAATATCTGCGTCTAGTATGTTCACATTTGTTTTGTGTGGTAGAAACACAAACATTCCATGAGATGCTAGTAAAATACAGCGAAAAAAAATAAAAAATCAATTCAAAATCAGCTTTAGTCCCCAAAACACTGAGGAAAAAAGAATATTTCTAAACCTGCAACGAAAGAGAGGCACATAAATAAAAAGACTGAGACCAGAAGTCATTATCACTTAACTTAATTCTCTTTGCAAACTTTAAGAGAGATCAAGGCTATGTTTGAAAAATATTTTCTGAAAATATTATCATCTGAACCAAATATGCTCTAAGTTTTAGCACTTTATAGTCTAAGAGAACATACTGTTATTTTTTTGAAGCTTTAAATTTTATAATTAGAGATAAAAACATATTTTAAAGCTATCTCAAATATTTTTAATATTAAAATTACATTTTTCGATACTATTTAAAAATGGGCTCTACTTTGATTATTTAGAGCCTAGGCTCTATACAAACCGTACCCTTTCGTCTTTAAAAATAAGTGTGAAGTTTGTATAGAGCCGAGGCTCTAAACAATCAAAGTAAAGCCCACCTTCAAATAGTATCGAGAAATATGGTTTCAATATTGAAAATCTTTGTAATAGCATTACAATATATTTTTATATCTAATTATAAAATTTAAAGCGTCAAAAATAGTGTAGATCGAGTAGATCTATGAAAAACTTGAAAATTGACGGTCCAAAAGTGCGTTACAAGATGCATTGTTCCAAAAGTTGAAATCCATTTTTTTCTCACGTTAATGCATCTTGATATCGAGATGATCAATTTGAAGATATTTGAACATTAAAACAATATCGTCTAGTGAAATTTTGAAACGAGCTTTAATTTGATTGTTTAGAGTCTCGGCTCTATGTAAACGTTTTTCAAGAAGAAAATGACCACCGACACGCAAGTAGGGACAGAGAGAGAGTGACCAGATAAAGCATTGAGCATATTGAAGCAAGTCTTGGAGAAGCTGGTGCCTGTTGCATGGTGAATTTCTTGGTATTGTTGAGCTTCTTCATCCACTTCCACCGTACTCATAATTCGATATTGGTACTTTCAGAAGGAGGTTGGCTCTTTTACAAGAAGAGAGAGATGTTGATGCTTAGAAGCGGTTGGGTTTTTATATAGAAATAAGGACGGTTAGAAGGGACTGGGTCTTGAGGAGACAGAGAGAGGTGCATCTGGGATGAGTTCAGCAGGGGCTCCTTCGTTCCAATTCCACTCTCATTCAGTCAATGAAAAGATAAAAAATGTGGAGAAACAACAGGCGAGTGGAGGAATGACATTTTCTAATAAAGGAAAAGAAAAGGAAGGTCGAGATATGATCGAGAAAGTGGTTGAGTGGGCGGAAAAGACCGGAACACAAACACAACGCCAAACTTGACCTGCATTAACTGCGTAACCAAATCACCCTCTATGCATGCTCTTTTATTGGTCTAGAGAGAGAAACCTTTATCTGACTTACAATCAGTCTTAGAAACATCGAACCGACCTCAAAAACCGGCTAGGGCTGGTTCTGAGTAACCACTAAATTGGCCCCTTCAACTGGCTTAATTGAGCAAGTCATGGCAAGTCAAGAAATTAAAAAAAAAAAAAAAATCAAAAAATATGTTTAAAGCATGATTAAACAAAACACATCCAATGAAGTTTAAAATTCGTAAAAAAAAAAAATGGATTTTAATAAATCGTTCTGTATCTAGAAGTATTTTTGAATTTTTTCAAAAAAAAGAAAAAAATATAAAAATACATATTCATGCCAAAAAATACTTTCCAATCTTTACAAAATTGATAATTTATATAAATTATTTTTAAGATACCAGCCCCATCACTAAAACCGGCCCGTGCCTTGTTCCGATCTAACCGGCCGGCTCCAAGTTGAATCTGCCAATATTGCGAACACTCCTTGAAACAACTGAGATGGACCCACCATGGAATGAACCCTCATTTTGATGCACTAAGAAAGAAGGCGTTCTATTTCATACAGAATGATGCACACCCAACATCACATGGACCTCTCTGTATATAGAGATGAACTGACTATTAGTTACGTCCGATTACAAAATGCGAAAATGTATAAGGACGTGGTTTCTATGCGGCCAAGCTCGCATATGTAGAAATGCAGGCCTATTAATAAATTTATTTTTGAGATAGATTTTTTAACTTAATTTTTAATGACATGTCATTTCTAACATGAAGATCATGAATATGAAAAAAATAATTAAATTTTAAAAACTAGAAATAATAATTCGAATAAAAAAACATTTCGACCATTAGTTTCCATTGTTTTTAGATGGAACACCTACTTACATCATCTTTAAGTAGTAATGTGGTTATGCGGTCCAGCCCGCATGGAACAATTTTCCAATATATAATGAAATTATTTATCTTTGGTGAAAGGCAGTCACAATTAATCTTGACCATTAGATGTGAAATTAGGTGGTTTTATTTACTTCAGTGACTAAGCTCAAAGTTAAAAAAAGAAAAAGAAAAAAGAAGGTAGATCTAAGGCTTTTTGACCTAGATCTAAGGTTCTTAAATCATAAGGAAAAGCGGGAGATTTTAGGTAGGGTCTACATAGGTATTTCTTGAGATTTCTTGATATTGCAGAAGAATTTTCCTTGGGTTTTTAAGGGTTTTGGATCTCCAAAGGTTGAATAAGAATTTTGAGATTTTTTATGATTTTTGGGATTTTTTTTAGATTTTTTTAAATTTTTTAAATATTTTCTAAGGGTTTTTTCTATTTTTGGATATTATTGGGCTGTTTTTTCTAATTTCAAAAATTTCTAAGAGATTTCTTGATCTCTTTTCTCTTTTTATGGAGGGGTTAATTATAGGACTTAATTGGTTATTTTTTCTGATTTTTAGGAATTTGTTTTCCGATTTTTTGGAAATTTTTTTCGAATTTTTTGGATTTATGTCGAAGTTTAGCCTTATCTAATAAAAGAAAACGTGTTTCCTATGTCATTCGGCCTTTAGGCCTGCCGGTCCGGGTTATAGTCCAGCCGCGGCCCGACACTTGGATATCACATGGACTAAATTGTTATCTATTAAATCATTTCATTCGTAGGCCCGATTCAGTCGAATCTTGAACGGTTGGAAAGCTCTCGGGCTCTACTTCAAGTTGGGATAATTTTGAACAGTTTTAAGATAATTATATTGGGTTTAAGTTGCCTATGGTCTACTAAAATTTTTGTGGTCCTTCAAGCTCAAAATCTAGATTTTTTGGAGTTCTCTTAACAAAAATTTAAAAATTTAAAAAAGGTGTCTACAAAGTCGAACCAATACCCTAAGAACTGAAATGACCTTTGCTCCATAACAATGTCCAGCAAGTACACCAAATACCTGACTTACCTCTGACAAATTTTGGCCTTGGCCTTCTCACTCAAGAGCGAGAAAGAGGTGGGGATTGGGTGATACGCAACCACCCCTCCCCCCTCACCCCCTCCAATGGATACTTTTTTTATCTTAAAATTTGGTGATGTAATCTTTACGACTCATAGAATAATCTTGGCAAAAAAAAACAAGAAAAACCTCAAATAAATTATGTACTAAAAAAAAACTTATGCTTCAAGCTTGAATAGAGACCGCCCAATTTTTTAAGGGCTAGATCTTATCGTCACAAAACTTAAAATTCTAATTTTTATTTTAAAAATAATCATCTAGTAATTATTATGTTTTTCCCAAAATTTTAGACTAAAGAATTCTCCTAAATAGGTATTTTGAGTGAGGGAGGAGATGTGCAGTATCCTCCCCATGGAACATAATATATGCGCTCTTTCACAAACTACCCCCATTCAAACTTGAAGTTTCGAATCAAGTTCGAACCTGTCACAGCACATATACCACAAGCCATGGGGTTGAAACCAGCTATCGGTTTTGAACCCACTTCACTAGTCACGAATTCAAAACTTAAAGTTCTTTACCTGTTATTTGAGTGGATAAATGGCTCAGAATAATGTTTTAAGTAACACCGTTCCGGATCATAATCACCTTATCAAGATCAAGAATCAATGGGAACTTGATTCTTGATTGGAACTTAGAATTGGGTCAGTTCCCACATAATCATCCAATTGAACTGAGAGATTTTGTCAAGGTCGCGGGGTTACCATGATTATTTATTTTATTATGTTTTCTCTTTTTGTAATTTTTTTATGAAAAAGAATAATTTCCATGCATGCAACGAAAGAGATGCACAGAAGAAGAGAATAGGGACTAGAAGCCATTACCACTGGACTTATTTCTCTTTGCAAACCTTAAAGAAGAAAGTCTAAGAGAGATTAAAGCCATGTTTGATTTGGGTGAAAATATTTTTTCATGTGGTTAGATGTAAGAATATTTTCACATCAATTAGTTATCAATTTGATGTGAAATAATACATTGAGGTCTATTGTGAAATACTTTTACACCTAACGACATAAAGGAATTTTTTGACGTGAAATTATTTTTTAAAAATATTATCATATAAACCAAACATAGCATAAGTTTTAGTACTTTATAGCCTAAGAGATCACACTAGTCTTGCAGCCTAAGAAAAAAACGACCACCACACACCCACATGGAGAGAGAGAGAGAGAAAGGGAGAGAAACCCGATAAAGCATTGAGCATATTGAAGGAAGTCTTGGAGAAGGTGGTGTCGTTTGCATGGTGAATTTCTTGGTATTGTTGAGCTTCTTCACCTGGTTCCACTGTACTCATGACTATCGGAAGTTGGTGCTTAGAAGGGGTTGGATCCATTACAAAAGTAAGAAATACAGAGATGTTGATGCTCAAGAGGAGTTGGGTCCTTTACCAGAGTAACAGAGAGAGAAATGTTGATGCTCGAAGGGGAAGGGGCTGGGTCCCTATAAGAGAGAGGTTTGTTGGAGCAAATGATGGCCAAAAAAAAAAGGAATAAAAAATGTGGAGGGCTTCCTAACCAGAAAAGGAAAAGACAAAAGTGGAGAAATGACAGGTTTCATAGTTGGCAGAGAAAAATAAAAAATGTGGTCATCCATTGACGCTGTGGGCAACGCCCTCACACTCTCAAATGAGAAATAAAAATCTGGAGAAAAGACCCGGTCCAAAGCTGCAGGCCACAAAAGGAGAGAAAAAAAGAAACGAAAATGGTTTGATAGGGGTGTAGCTCTATCAAAACAAGTAAGGTCTCGCGTCATAATTCATCTAAAATTAGAATTCAAGCACCTTTACATTGAAAAAAATGGATTTGAAGTTTTAAAAATAATGTATATTATAACATATTATTTAGATAGTTCATTTCACACTAAAAAGAAGTGTTCATAGCTCTATAAGATCTGTACTATTCATTGAGTTTTGAATTTCATTGTCGGTGTTAAAAATTGATTTTAGAACCATCATGGCCGAAAGTGCTTCCCAGACAAGGATCTAAGATGTGGGTTTGTTTTGTTTTTATAAAGCCTATGCTTTATACAAACTTCATCCAAAGAAAAAAAAAAGAATTGTTTGATAGGGCTGCAACATATCAAAACAAGTAAAGCCTCACTTCATAACTGATTGAAAATTACAATTCAAGTATTAAAAAACATTTCCATCGATCATCTTGGCTTGAGCATCATAGTTGTGGAAAAAAAAGAAAAAAAAAAAAATTCAAGCTCTAATAATACTGTACATTATAACAATTGTCTAGATCGTGCATTTCACCCAAGAAAAATATGTTTATAGATCCCAGGATTCGTACTATTTTTTGAGTTTTGAATTTATCGTCATGGTTGAAAGTTGATTTTAGAACCATCGTCGCCGAAAGCGTTTTCCAAATAAGGATTTGAGATGAGAATTTATTTTGTTTTGATAAAAACGTGGGCCCAATAGAAACCCGATCCAAAAAACACAGAAAGTCGTTGAGTGGACAAAAGATCG